GCGTCCCCATGGCCGCACCAAAAGCGCCCGCCAGCCTCATGCCCAGCGCCAGGGCGCCCGGCGTTGATGCAGGCTCCAGCTCGGCCCCGCCGGCGGCGCCGTCGGCAGCGGCGGCGGCGGTCTGCGCGGCCAGGGAGAGAGCGTCCTTGCGCTGCTTTTGGTGGCTGGCATTGAGGGCCCTGATAGCCTGTAACGGTGTCACGTGGGTTCCCCGCAGATGCTGAGCCCCGGCCATGGCCGCCGCGACTGAGGCCTTGCGGCTGCCGGCGGCGCCAGTGCGGCAGGCTCTGCCTCCTGTTTCTGCAAAGGGCAACCCGCCGCAAGCCTGCTGGCGCCGCGCGTTGCAGCCGCCTCCGGGCTCGCTGCAGGGACGGCCGGCGGTGGCGGCGCACAGCAAAGGCTCGCCGTTGCGACGCGCGGCAGGGGGCGGTGCACGCGGCGGGTCGACGCTGCCGGGGTCGTGGTACCAAGGCCCTGGCTCCATGTGGAACTTCTGTGGGCCTGCGCGGCTGCGCAAAGTCGGCCTGCCCATTCAAGGTTGTAGTGGCGGGGGAGGCATTGGTGGTGATGTGGGGAGCATGTCGAGCGCACAGGATCACAGCGCGACTGCTGCGCTAGGTTACGCAGGGGTTGCTGCGACGATGCGCAGCCGCGTCCTGTCGTCCAAGAAGGGCGTGGCTTGCGCCACTGGGTGCAGACGGCTGGGTAGGGCAGGCAGTCTTTGGAGCGCAAGCGGCGGATGTGTACGTGGCATGCGGCGCGTGCCTACGAGCATCTGGGGCCTGTCCGCCGATTGCCTCCAGCACGCACGGAAAGATCTTAAACCTCCTTACCCAGTTGTATACTGCACGCAAATCACGTCGCAGACGTCAAGAACGGGCCTTGCAATGGAGTCGACCGGTTTGCTCACTGCGCGCCATTCGGGCCCGCTGTGTCTGCATATTACAGTACTACACAAAGGGAGGCCGAACACCAATACAAAACATGAATGTTGTATGATAACACGCCTCTCCTGCGTCTCATGCTTTCGCATCAAAACATTCAATTGCTGCCTGTGTGCACGGTGCTGGTGCTCTTGCTGACGCGCGCGACAGTCCGAGCCATGCACAGCATGCTGCCCAACGGGGCCCTGAAACGGGGAGCGACGCTGCACCACACCCCTGTAATTGAGCTTGCAATTGGAGATATCAGTTTCATGCGTGAAGCTGTGCTTGATCATGCAAAAACAGGCCGCCAAACAATCAATGCAGCGGTCAAACCGACAGAACAGTCAGCGGTCAAGGCACGACACCGCGAGCGCCTGGGCGACGCCAAACGCAAACGCAGCCCCGCTGCCCCCCTCCTCGGGCCCTGGGCACACCAGCAGCACCTGCTGCAGGCGCGGCAGCTGCTCCATCACGACGCGGAGGGGGCCGAGCACCGGCGCCATCAGCGACAGCAGCTCGGGCGCTGCGACCGCCTTGTGAGCGGCCCGGCCCGGCCGCATCCGCCCGACCCTGCGGTGGCAGCGTTTGGGTGGGGCGGATGCTTGAGTTTCTGCTTCTGCACCCTTGCCCATTCGCAGACGTGCCAGGTCAAACCATGATGGCACGGACCCAGCTGGCTCGGTTAAGACGCCGGGGGGTTGAGAGACAGCAAGTCCTGCATGGCATGGCACACAGTAAAAGCAAGGGCCGCAAGGGCCCCCGCGACGCACACCTGCCGCCTGGCGGAACCACAACGGGGATGACCAGCACCCGCACCGCCCTCGCCGCGCTTGGCAGGGCCTGCACCGCCGTGGCCAGCGCCTGTGACACAGCCCGCAGGTGGGCCATCCCAAGAGCTGCGCCACCGCCACCGCCGCCGCCGCCGCCGCCACCGCCGCTGCTGCTGCACCAAGCACCCCCAAGCGCCTCCTCCCGCACCATGGCGCATGCGAGCCGCCACCGCCGCCGCTCGTCGTCGGCCGCGCCGCCCGGCTGCCACAGCGTCGCGGGCCCGCATGGGCCCGCCCCATCAGCGCGCTGCGTGCTGCAGCCTCCGCTGCCGCTGCCTGCCGGGAAGTCCAGGAGCGCCCGCAGGTCAAGGACCGGGTAGCCCAGGCCGGCCAGCCGCTGCAGTGCGCGCTCCACTTCAAGCAGCGCCCGCCCCGTCGAGCACGGGTGCAGCACCGCCGTGCGGCGCGTCGCGCCCGCGCGCGCCGCGTTGCGGGCAGCGGCGGACAGGATTGCCGCGCGGACCTGCTGCCAGGTCGCAGCGCCTGCAGCCGGCTGCCGCCGCGGCTGCGCATGGCCGCGGCCGCCAGGGCCGCTGCCGTCGACGCCGCCGTCATTGTCGGCGGCGTCGTCGAACAGCGCAACCGAATCCCTCAGAAACAGCTCAAACCCCAGTGTTGTCTGGCTTCTCCCAGAAAGACCGCAGCACAAGGCCCCACCCTCACCCACTCCGCCCTCCTCTCCCTCGCCGCCACCGTCGTCGCCGCCGCCCTCGCCTACACCCCATGTTTCGGCGGTCGGCAGCTCCCCATCCAGGGGCCGCGCGGACAGCAGCGCTCCCCAGCCGGGCTGCAGGCGCCGCGGCAGCTGCTGGTGGTGTGCCTGCAGGTACAGCTCGGCCGCCACGCGGCCGCCGACCTCAACCGCGACCGCGCAGCGGCAGGAGGCGCGCGTGCGGAAAGAGACGCTGGAATTGAGGCAGTGGACGCCTGCGCGCGGGCGGGCGAGGGAAGGGGATTGACTACGCATTGATAGTCAAGAGGTTGCGCTTGGCAGCCGCACGGAGCAGGTAAGGCACGCACGAGAGTGTACAACCGTGCAGCGGGCTCAGACAGACTGTGGAGCTGTGTAGCTGTGTTAGCCCTCAACCGCTGACCCAGGCCTCAGGCCCAAGCGTGTTGACCCACCCATGGCGCCGAGGGTCAGCCATGATTGCTGCTGATCTGACAGCACCAGCGGCGGCGACAGCGCGAGTGGGTCCCGCTGCACAAACCCCGGCGCCCGCCCGACGCTGCGGACGGCGCCGGTCGACGGCGCCTGTGGATGCGGCTTGAGGCAGTGCGGCGCGGCAGCGGCCGAGAGCGCGCACGCTGCTGATAACAGGTCTCTGTAGGCTGCCTCGTCACCCGCATCGGCCCCCTGGGATGTGGCGCTGCTGTTGTGACCAGGGTTGGCAGCTGCAAGTGAGCCAGCAACAGGCTGCTGCTGTTTGACGGAGGATTCTTCGATGCTGCCGCTCCCCTCGCCGCCCTGTTGCACGTATGGACGCCCACTGCGACGCCTGGGCCAGCCCAGCGTACAGGCTGCCGCAGCCTCGTACACCCGCGGCACGCTGGCCAGCGCTGCGGCTATGGACGCGGACGAGATGCTAAGGCGAATCAAGTCCGGCGCCGGCAGGTGGTTGGCTAGCGCGGCCAGGACCGGCGGCGGCAGGAGGTCCATCGGGCTCGCCACGACATTGGAGCTGTGGGCAGCGGGCGGGTCTGTGGCTGCTGCATTTGGCGGCGCCATTGCGGCCTGCAAATGCCCCGCGCGGAGCTGCTACCGATATCTGGTACGAAATCTTTGCCAGAAGCTATCAGCGATCCAGAGTATGACGACTGCGAGCAGATGCACAGATACAACGAGCACGAGTAAGCGATCGCCAGGGGGCATAGCGTGGTGTTCCTTAGATTCTGAGTGTGCGCGATACAATTGCAGCACGAACACCGCGTGTTGAGGACCAGTGCTAGCGATCTCAGGTCTGGTGACTGGGTGACCCCCCTCCACGGTCGCTGGAGCAGGCCTCTGCTGAGGAGTTAGCCGTTCAATACAGACTGAAAGCCTCGCACTTATTGCGCGCAGGCATTCGCCAAACACGTGACGCTTGTCCCAAAGCTGCCGACGTCGGGCTGACCATGAAGTTGACCCTGATGTGGCAACATGTAATACTCTGTCTGTGTGTGTGCGTGTGCGTGTGTGCGTGTGTGCGTGTGTGTGTGTGTGTGTGTGTGTGCGCGCGCGTGTTCACACCCATGTGCACATAGTGGCTGCCCGAAACCTCTCAAACAGAGACCCGTATGCCAGAAGTCGCACACCAGTCCCAGTTACTGCATGTGGGCGATAACATCAGCCACATCTCCGCTGCCCCGCAGCCGCCCCGCCCTCGCCACCGGCGACGATGCTGCCGACGCCCCTGCGCCGCGGGTCGCGGCTCAGGCCCGCCTGGCGCAGCAGTCGGATGTAGTTCTTGGCCCACGAAAGGCGGTGCTCCCCCAGATCCCTCAGGAAGTCGAACGGGAAGATCCCGTCGTGCAGGTCATCAAAACGGATGCTGCCAGGAGATTGCGAGGGAAGAGGAGATGGACCTGACTCGAGCCGTGCGCAGCGCACACGGCTTGCAGGGCTCGTGGGCCCGCTAGTGGGAACGCAGTTGCACACAGCTGACCCTTCGCTTGAAGTCAATCACGCCGTCGCAGGCCCCGTCAAGTGGCTGCCAGGGTTTACAGCCTCCTGGACACAAGAGACGCTGCCAGTGCCCTCAAACTGCGACCCTTGCTGACGATGCTCCCAGGCCACCCACCGGATTGCGTAGCGGCCCACGGGCTCAAGAGACAATATGCCCACGTGCCGCCGGCCCGACACCACCTGTGCCGTTCGGGTTCCAAGGCAGGCATGAGGCGCCTGCATGTATTGGAGCCAATCAGTCGCAGATGCAGAGGCCTCCATCATGCATTCTGCACAGCTGAAACTGCACAAGTGTGTGAGTCCTCGCCAACCGCTTGGTGCAGTCGTGAGCCCCGACCTTGGGTTGACCAAAGGCAGGCACGGCTGCAGCAGCACGTGTGGAGGCCCCACGCATCCTGGGGCTGGCCGCGTTGTCTGCCGAGGGGCTTGTGCACTGGCCGCCCGCCAGCGCGGCGATACGGGTGCGGGTTGGGGGGAGCGGCTGTGTCAGCCCACGTTTGAGCAGCTCCCGTCGAGCCTTGCCACCTCACTTGTGTGTCACTTTATCAACCCCGTGCTCGCATGCCTGCAATAACCTTTGCAGCTGCCGGCCACCCACCCTCAGCAGCTCGGCGGAAAAGCGGCGCATCACTCCGTCATCAAACTCCACTTGCAAGACCTGCGTTTGAGCCAGGCTCGCAGAATTCGACTCCTGGTGCTGGATGCAGTGTTGATAGCATCCAGGCATCCAGGCACAAACATATCTACACGGTACGCATGCTGCGTGTACTCACCTTCTCCTTCTTGTGCAGGTGCAGCGACTGCACCGCCCATGTGCCCGCTGCTGACGCCGCGCTGGTCACTCCACTCGTGCGAGGGGCCCCGCCGCTGGGAGCAAGCTGCAAGACTCTGGAGGCCTTTGCAGCGGCTTGACGAAGCATCACGTACGATTCAGCGTTGAGAGCCGGATCCCTGCACGTTGCAGGGAGTCTGCGGCGTGGTGACGGGTGCACTTAGGGTGCACCGCTGCGCACGCGACGACTCTTGCAGGTGTTTGCACTTACGGCACCACACCCTCGTTGATGCTTGTGACAGCCTGTGTCAAGGTCGATTATACATAGGACGCCAGCATAACTGTACTGTGATGTTCTGCGTGTGTCACCACGGTTGGGGTTGTGTACGTATGATACGACGTTGCTATTCTATTAGCGATGCTGCCAAGCGACAACTGAAGCACGCCATAGACAAATAAAATTTCAAAGGGGCTGCGCGACAGCTACAGTAGATCGTTCTCACATCTTTTCAAGCTATGGAGGCGCAGGATGCAAGCGCTGTACTTCATGTGATGTCACCGTCTCGCCACAAAGGCGCGGATACGGTGAGGTTGGCGGTCAGATGCTGCAGTAGAAGCGGCGCCCATGCGCAGCAGCAAAGAGTCGCAACCGGAGGTGTTGACTTCTCCAAGGTGGCTCAAAATCACCACTGCTCACTATATGCGTAGCTGTAAGGGTGTAGCGTCAATGGTTGAAGCGGGCCTGCTCCGTCCTCAGCGTGAAGCTGCGAGCACGGTATTGAGGCGCTGCATTCCGATGTGGCCGCATGCCCCCATTGGCTCCCATCTTAAGCCCTGCCCCCTGCGTGGCTTGGCGCTCTGCCTCTGAAGCTAGCTTGCTTGCCGTTGCTACCGTTTTCTGCAGGAGGATCAGGACCTCATCCTTGCGAGGGTTCTGCAGGAGCAGGAGCACGCTTTCATGCTGTTGGAAACAGGCCAGTACGGCGACCAGTACACGTGAGCAACAGGCAGGCGCTGGTCTGCAGACGAGGCATGCAGTGCGGCGCCCAAAGACCGCGACCTTGTACCTGCCTCTTGATTTTGCAAAGGTTTTTCGCAGCAGACATCCGCTATGGTCGCCCCCGCGCTGCTGCAGCGACGATGGGTACCCCTTGGACGAGGGCGACGAGCTGGCTCCACAGCAGCGGGCTGAGGACAGGCAGCCCAAGGTGAGCCTGGATTTCGGCGACGGCAAGGAGGACGAGCAGCAGCAGCAGCAGCAGCAGCAGCAGCAGCAGCAGCAACAACAGCAGCAGCCGGGCGACCACGAAGAAGCTTTGGATGATGAGGCGTTGGCAAGGCGGCTGCAGGAGGAGGAGCAGCGTGCGCTGTACGAGCGCATGCTGGAGATGAGCGGGTACCACGCGCACCAAGGTGGGGCGACGCATGTGTCGCTGGCTATTAAGGTCTTGCGTCTGGCCATGCAGCCTTGAGGTTGGGATGGCTTTATCAATGCAGCAACGCTCCTGTGGAAGATGTTAGACTGCTGTTGATTGCCATTCCTTTCATATCGGCGGATGCAAGCATGGTTGAGTAGACTGCTGCTGGGTGGCTCTGCTGGCGGTAGCCTGCTGGATGGATGAGGCTGCCGTGCACTGCGACCACCCCTTTGCAATCTGCAGAAGGCGCAGACGAGCTGGACGTGAACGCCATGACCTACGAGGTGTGTTCACTACTAGGTACTTTGCAACTGTAAGCAAGGGTCGCGCAGTGTACGGGTGCAAATTTGTTGGCATCAAGGAAGAGGACAGCGTCACTCATCCTCAACGTGCCAACTCACGAAGTGTCAACGCTCAGCGTGGCAAGGCGGCCGCGGCTACCCCTGCAATGCCATCACAGGACCTGCAAGCACTGGGGGACGTGGCGGGCGTCGTAAACCGCGGCCTCGCGGCGCACGCCATTCAGAGGCTGCCCCAGGCGTCCTTCAAACAGCTGAGCCTGCAAGCAGCCGCCGCGGCGACGGCCGGGGCAGCCGATGAGGAGCAGCAGGGGACGGAGGCAGACGTAAGAGGCGACACACCCGCGCAGCACTTGGCGGTTGCCAGCCTGGAGAGGTGCACCATCTGCATGGATGACTTTGTTGACGAGGGTGAGCGGCACGGCGGCGGGGCGCAGCCCATTCGAGGCGCTGCTTACCCCATGTCATCACTGACAGCTGGGCGTTGGTGCGTTTGACCACCTTGCTTGACCAAGGGGACCCGTACAACGTGCTGCACGGCATGTGTAGCACATAGCGCTATGCTAGCACCACTCCTAATACATCTGCAACACCCCATGTATACCCATATGCTAAGCTGCAGTACCACCGACGCCTTACCGCGCCCCTTTCCCTCCCCCAACCCCTCCAGACACGCTCAAGGTGCTGCCCTGCAACCACGCCTACCACACTGCCTGCCTGGACGAGTGGCTGAGCTGCAGCAAGGTTTGCGGGGAGGCGTGGCGCTGTCACAGGCGCCAGCCTGGCTTGACACCTGCATGCGTGCCGTTGATTTGGGGTGGGTATCCATGTGTGGATTCAACAGCTGGCCTCTGTGTCCGAGGCTTGTAACGTCAACGTTGAACCAACCATGCCCCCACCGCAGGCGTGCCCTGTGTGCACCAGGGAGGTCACAGCAGGCACCAACCAGCGCTGACCAATGCCAGCTGGCGTCCTTGCACGCGAGCCAAGTTTGTCGAGGCCTGGCACGCCTCGACCAGATTCCAGCAGGAGCAGATGCAAGCAAATACATTACTCCGCCCGCACAGCAATCGTGCACATGGGCTGCTGTGCTTTTGCGCATTCAGTTGCTTTGGCCGCCTTCATCTTCCCTTTGGCTGAAATGCCAGCTTTTCCCCCTGACGTGACTGTGTAACTGCCGAACAAACTTCTGGAGTAATGCTGATGTCACTGATTACCAGACATGTCATGCAGCAAGCAAGTGTGTGCTTTCACAAAAACTATTGCTTGACCGACTGTAGCTCAACGGTGCCGCAGGCTTCTGTTGCTGAGCGGGCTCCGGGCAAGGGGCACCCGCACATAATCTCTGGCTATCAGGAAACAATGCGAGAGCGGAAAAGGGCGTACGCCTCGCGCACTTGTCAGCAGGCAGAAAGATAGATCCTGAGAGCCTCGGCCAAGAAAGGCGGGTGGATGTGACGCGAGCTGCAGGCAGCGCTGGGGACCACGCGCTGCGGTGAGAAGCCACTGCTTGTCTCCTCAGCGAAAAGAACCCAGGGCCCCTCCCCTGAATAGGACGCTGGTTTCGCAAAGTCTCGATGCAAGAGATGCCCCCGCACTGCTTCAGGGAACCAAAATATGGGCGTTGTGGGAGCCGCCGGCGGGCGTGCTGATGGCGCACAGGCGGACGGGGCAGCACATGCAGACACACACCAAATCAGGGCCTTGGACGGGCCCAGTGCTGGTGCGAGCGTGGTGACCAGGAATGACTCAAAGATGTTGTGTGCGACCGCGTGCTTTGCAGCGCGCGGCGCTTTCCATCTGTCAACGCCCTGAAAGCGGTGACACTGCAGTGGTGCCGGCAAATGGACTCAACTGCTGGCTGAGCTGGAACTAATACGAATCTCTTTGGCCAGTGCAGCCTCTTGGTTCTGCCCAGCCGGGAGCGCTCTTGCAGCCCCCATCTGGATGCCAAGCAATTTTTGTAGGTTGGCAGCCCAAATCACAGATCATAGATCACACTCCAGGTCACAGATCCCGAATGTCACTCCAATTCCTCGGCAAGCATGTCATCCATCGTGCCCTCACGCATGCTCTCGCCCCGCACAAAGCTGTTGAGCGCAGCCGCCAGCTCGCAGGACTTGCCGCCGCTCAGCAGGCGCGCCACGGCGCCACCGCGGGACGACGCGCGGCGGCCGTGGCCGTCAGGTGCCTCAAAGCCGCAGGCTGCTTGGCTGCAGTTGGCGGCCGCGGCCGCGTCCACGTACAAGGCCGTGCCGTCGAGCAGCAGCAAGCTGCCGCCCCTGTACATCATGCCGCCCTCCAGGCTGCCGCTGCTGAGCAGGCCGTCCAAGCCGCCGCTGGCCCGTCCGCCGAAACTCAAGCCGCCGTTGGCCTGGGCGGCGGCCGCCCCGATCAGCCCGTACCCTGCCGCCGCAGCTGCGCCGGCCGCACCCCTGCGGGTCACGAGCGCAGCTGCGGATTCATCGGGGCTGCCGATGCTGTCGCAGCAAGACGCGCGTGCCGGGCCGTCTGCAGCCTCGACCTCAAACGACTCCGCGCGCGCCTGGCCCTCGCCGCCTGCTGCAGAGTGGCGCATGATCCCGGCCCGCGGAGGCGGCAGCATGAGGCAGGGCTGCTGCTGCAGCATCTGCTGCTGCATGGCTGTTGCCGCTGCTGCAGCTGCGGCGCTCGCAGCGGCCTCCTCAAATGCGTAGCCATCATACGCGGCGGGCGCCTCCAGAGAGGTCTGTTGGGGATCGGGGTATTTGACGGAGGTGCCGCAGCCGCGGCGCGCAAAGCGGCTCAGGGCCTGCAGCGGCTGGTGTGCCGACGCGCCCAGCGCGGGGCCCGCAGCCGCGAGCGTGGCGCCGGCGCCCCCGCGCGCCGGCGGCAGGCCGGCGCCCCAGCCTGCGTCAAAGGCACCGCCGCTTTGCGCGTGAGGCGATCCAAACGGCGACGAGCAGGGGGCACGCGGCACCGGCGTTGAAGGTTGCGACTGCGGGTGCTGCTGCTGCTGCTGCTGCTGCTGCTGCTGATGGGTTGCTGCCTGCTGCTGCTGGAAGTGATGCTGCTGATAATGCTGCTGATACTGCTGCTGCTGCTGCTGGTGGTGGTGCTGCATTTGGTAGTGCTCCTGCTGGGCGGCCGGGTAGCCGCTAGCCCCAGCTGGGGCCATGTCCGCGCCAGCGGCCGCGCCTGCGTAAACAACGACGGGCGCAGTGCCCTGCCGCGGCATTGCGCTGCCTGCAGAATAATCACTGCCATAGGATGGCGCCGACGACAGCACAGCCCGCGGCGGCAGATAGCCGCGCCCCACGCCGCCCATAAACGCCGCCGCGGCCGCCGCCGCGTCGCTCGGCGCGACCCCAAACGCGTCCGAGGCAAACAGCGACCCCGTGTGCTGCTGCTGCTGCTGCTGCTGCTGCTGCTGCTGCTGCTGCTGCTGCTGCTGCTGCTGCTGCTGATGCGGCGGCAGCGCGGGGCTGCCTCCGGCCAGCAGCCTCATGCGCGAGAACGTGGGGGTGGCCCCAGTGGACCCAGCGGGAGAGCCACAGAAGCTCGAGTCGCGCGACAGAGGCAGCTGCATGGCAGCTGCCCCGAGTCCCTCCTGCGACCCCGCTCCCGCAAGGCTGTTTTTGAGCATCGCGCTGTGGATCGTCGCCGCCAACATCGTCGCGGGGCGCGCGGGGCTGCCAGGCGGCGCCCGCGGCGCGGTGACCACCAGCCGCGGCAGCGGCGGCGGCGGCGCGACCTGCGGGTGCTGCGCGGCAGCCTGGTGCTGCTGCTGCAAATGCTGGGCATGCCGCGCCGCCGCCACTGCGCCGCCGTCGGGCATCAGGGCATCTGGAAGCTCCTGCACCAGCACTCCCTCTTCTTCCTCATCGCCCGGCCCCTCGTCGCCTCCGTCCGCGCTGCCGTCGGCTCCGTGCCCCGCGTCGGTGCTGATGCCCCCGTAGGCGGTGTATGCGCACGGCTGGTAGTACTGCGTGTGCTGCTGCTGCTGCATCTGCTGCTGCAGCGCCAGCATCTGCTGCTGCTGCTGCTGCTGCTGCTGCTGCTGCTGCTGCTGCTGCTGCTGCTGCTGCTGGATCTGGTACGGCAGGTGTGCGGCAGCTGGCGCATGCTGCGGCGGGTATGGCATGTGCACCTCCCCGTGCTGCTGCTGGCGGCGCCGCTGCTTTGGTGGCTGCTGCTGCTGTTGCTGCTGCTGCTGCTCTTGCTGCTGCTCCTGCTGCTGCTGCTCCTGCTGCTGCTGCTGCTGCTGCGGTGGCGGCGGCGAGCGCGGCGCCGCGCGCTCGCGCTCGCGCTCGCGCCCCCGCCCGCCCCCGCCGC